ATCTTGGTAATATTCAGAATTTTGAAGATTGATTTATGTAGGCATCTTTTTGGATCTCATCGATTGCGATCCAATATATTTCCAAGCAGTGGAAGTTACTGCTGGTAACCGTCTCCTTTTTCATGTTGTTTCAGATGATAGGTGAGTTTCTCACTGGGCCAGTTCTTCATTTCTAAGTGATTAATGCGTACAATTTTAGGGTGGCTTTGAAAATAATGAAACAGTTCAACCAGCAGAACTTACCTGGAGAGTGCAACTTTTTCCCAGTTAACAGAGTTGTCGGACCACCTCGAAAAGAATATCAGGATGGGGTGAGCTTCAAGAAGGTTATATATCTATAAAGGGATTCGGGATTAAAGTAATGAAAGTTTTTTTATTCCTTATTATATCTAACGTGGGGACGATGCAGAAGGTGTCCGTCCCGAAAAATGTTCAACTTTCGGCGCATGTAGCTCCGACACAGTACGTAATTGTACGGTTGCTCGGCGCTCGGCAACTAATGACAACTGAGTCAAAGCAGCCATTCATTCTTCAAATCATCTAATGGCTGATGAAAGAGCTGGGCAAAACGAAGCTTTGTGACATAATTTTTCTATCAGTCGGTCGTTTTTTTTTGTCATATTGACATCAATTCTTTTGCATTTGCAGGATGGACGTGCTATTCTAGATGTATTCGATTATGATGAGTATTACGATGCAGTGTTCCGTAACGTCTTTGCTGGTCAGAAATTTCATATTTTCATCAGGATTACCAATGTGCTTTATAGTAACTGTTAAGGTACTGCTATTGTTCGTGATCTCCATCTTGGTGCTCGTTTCGCGAGAAGTGAAGGGTTTGATTGCGTAACGCTAGATGGAGACCAGGTTCGCTTCGAAATCAGTTTTTTTCACAGGCTGTTCCGAAATCCTTAAAAGAACAAAGGATTTCAAGTGAGTCGTTAAGATATCCAAGCGAGGTGCACTTACTGGAGGTTATATCGACACGAAAAGGTCGAAGTTGGAGCTGCATAAAAGCATCAGAGGACAAAAGGCGAATCGTGATCAGTTGCAGGTGAATGCTTTCGTTTTCATCCGAATTCCCTAGTTGTTGGGTATCGTGCTTGCTTATAAAATTGGAATCAAATTAAGCAAAATCGAAAGACAAAATGTTAAGGTAACACTAAACGAGATCCAACGAAAGGTGAATGAGAAGATGAGCGCTGTTGAGAAGTTACAAATGGAAATCGACAAGGTAAGACACTTCTATCGTCCAGGAGTCAACAACTTTTCTACCAGGCCTCATTTTTTGCGCTTGTGTTTTTTTCATTAAGGCTGACAACGACATGCGAGTGTACAAGCAACAGCATCGTAATCTCACTGAAAAGAAGCGGTATGCCAGCGAGCAACTGCATGCGATGGGGCGAAACCGTGAGCCTAAGGTGAAGTTTCTTAGATTTACTCATAGTTTGCGGAGAACTTATTTTCCGAGGTGAGAATGAACGTTACAGTCCAAAAATCCTGTTGTGGGAGGGATTTTGTGTTTCCGTTAAAAACAAGACCTTCACAGAGTTGATACTTTGGCAAAGAAACTTTTCCAGCCCGCCTTCAATTGCTCCAGCTCTTGTTGACTCTTGAGCGCTTCTGTATACCTATTCGCTGGAAAATGCTCAAAAGTGTTCAAGTGTCGGACGCACTGTTTGAACTTAACCTGTGTGTTTTAGAAAGCTCAGCTACTAAATCTGCGAAATCGAGTACGCGAACTGCGTGCACAGTTGGAAGGCTACGAAAGTCAAATTGGATCTGAATTTCTGTCCCAGATCAGCAAATCGGAGCAGTTGGAGTGCGAACGATTACAGGTTAGATATATAATAGGCCAAAGATCTTAAATTGGTAAGCATTTTTTTTTTGAAGAAACGGTGTTAAGCGAGGAAATCTCGCTGAGATGAAAACAGCGACGCTTGACCATAGTGCGCGAAAGAGCGACAGCACACTGAGCACGACGAAACAGGCCCGTCTTGGCAGAACAGCTCATTAACGATATTCTTCGCGCTAAGAGGGACAGCCTGTGGCGCGGTGGTAGGGAGGATTGGATTACAATGTTCAGTGCTGAGATTATCAACCAGCTGCTACATACGTTAAGGTATTCATTCGCTTTCATTATTGTTAACTTTTTTTTTTCAGAAAATTAGTGACATCACAGTTGATGAGAAGAGGCACAATTTACAAGCAGAATCTGCAGAACTGAATTCAGTTATTCAAAGGTAATTCGTAATCTCCAAAGCTTTAACTCTCTTCGAAAAATTTATTTGACGTACCTTTACAACGCTTGTTTTCTGTTAAATTCTTTTCACTGTTATCTTTCTGCCTATTTTAAATGTATACATGTGCGTGCTATGTGCGGAAAGGGAGAAGCTTTGTCGTACATTAAACCTTTCCATTTTGAGTTGAAGTGAACGGAGTACGGCTCCAATCCCATAATTCTTCTTGCCTTTTGATTTTTAATTTTTCTTTCTGCAGGTTGAATGAAATTGTTCCGCCGTATTGCTGAACTAGATGAGCATCTGATGGAATACGAAGAAAGCGCAGAGAAGTTGAATAGAGAGTTGGAGGACGTGCAGGTGGGTGTGTTTCATGAGATTTAGTGGATTTTGTAAGAAACACTGGAACCGTAATACGAAGATTACAGAACCAGCGTTTCTTTGCTTCATAGAGCTTTCTTGTCATTTCAGTGCGTTAGCTGTTAAGTGCGTTGACCACTTGTTTTGGACGGATCTATAATTAACAGTGGGTAGCTTCCCTCCACCAATGCCGTATTGAGCCAGTCAAGCCGGCATTGTGTTTCGAAAATGTCGACTAGTGGCCTAGGGTCGATGGGAGGCTTGCTAAACGTGATGGTAAGCCTGTATTGAATAAAAGCCGTTTCAGGAACAACAGAAAGACTTGGAAGCGCAATTGGCCGACTTCTCTAAGCAAGCGGATATAATATTTACAAAGCAGAGTACGCTGCAAAGTAAGCGAGAGGAAAATGTAAAGAAGGTCCGTCTTAATTTCACTTATGTAATAAATCAAATGGTTCTTTTATGCATTTTGGGCTTATGGGTCCATTACCGGTCACCAAGGACCAAAGTGTAGAGATGGAGTGTAGACAGTAATGGTTACATAAATAGTTGTAGATTCGTGAACTTGGTTCGTTACCGACGGATGCTTTTTCGAAATATCAAGGAATGAGCACAAAGCAGTTGGACAAGAAATTAGCTGAATGTATGCATGAGCTGAAGAAATACGAAAATGTTAACAAGAAGGTAAGTAACGTCATTATTTCCTAGCGGTTGTATGATCGTTTTCTTTGTTATGTATTCTTGCTGTTTCTGTTTTCTCTTGCTTAGACATTTGTCATGCTTTTCCAAAATTTTAATCTAAACTCATTTGTAACTCTAAGTTCCTGGAGAGGAGGAGGCCCAGAATCAACCTTTGCCTTGGGAAAAATCAAGGTCACTGCGACTTTCTTCCCCTCTGGACTCAGAGCCCTATGGAAGCTACCTGTGGACCCTCCGATT